GGAAATAGTGATGTCCTACACTAAATGAAGTAGAAGTGCCAGGGAAGTCAGAAATGCCAGTAAGGAATCACCATGCCAGTCAATGGAAGGAGAGATTAAAAGACTCAGAGAACCTGGGTGTGTTAGGTGGATATATAATGTAAGTCTGGAAAACTCATCAAATGTCTACAGTCCTAAGGCAAGGACTGGTGGATACAGCATTAATTAAATGAGGCACATTGCTGTGTTGGTGCCGATAACGTGGGAATAATGCAAGAGTCCAACAAAGAAGTAGAAAGAAGTAAAGTTTAGTATTCACCTTTCCCAGATTGGAAAGGGGGCCAACACTCAGAGGTAAGTGTGGCCTCGAAGGGCCAAGAAATGGGTATATTTAATGGCCTTTGGGGTAAGGGGATTTAAGCCCCGGGAGGAATGTCCAGGGTCTTTCATGTTGATTGTAGCCACATGAGTCTTAGATCTTAACATAGCCAAACATTAGCATCTCATGCCCTCAGGTCGTGGGCTAGATGGGCAGAGACAAGGGAAAGGCGTTTTTCTGCAAGAGACTTATTAGACGTTTGCAACCCACAAACTCCTTGACCAGAAAGTGGTCTTACTATCATTTCTATGGCTCTGTTCTTGCCTTGCATCTGATGGAGTTTTGCCAAGGGGTTTGGGTAGGCTGCCACTTGGCCTGCAGTAGAACGTCTGAATGCTTCCTAAAACCTACCTACTGGAAATTTATCTATGTGGAACCTGTGCTAGATTCAACAGGGTTAAAGTCTGAGCAAAAATGGTTGTGCTGAGGCAAAAAGACTACGTTAACTTAAGTTTATTCTAGATTTTTATAGGTGCCTCCTTTCATACACAGTGCACCCCCCGCCTTCCTAATTTTAGGTCCCAATTCTTACTTCAAGGTGGTGTGGCATAATGGTTAAGCCTATGGGTTTTAAACTCAAACAGACCAGGATCAGAATCTTGGCATGGCCACGCACTGTGACCTTGGACAAGTTGCTTAGCATCTCTGAGCTGGTAACAGTGTACAGCTCAGTGTCCTCCTGTGCATGTCTACAATGCATAACCACCACCCGGCCCATAAGGAATATGGCCAGCAGCCCAGCTGGCCCCCTCACGCTCCTGCCTAGTCAGCAGTCCCTTGCCCTCAAGGAAAATTTATATTCTGATTTCTGTCACCATAAATTGGTTTTGCTTATTCTCTGCCTTCACATAACTGGAAAACACCGTATGATTGCCTCTGTTTGTGGCTTCTTTTTCTGAACATTATGTTTGGGAGAGTCAATTAAATTGTTAAAGGTAGTGCTAACTTGCCCTTTTTCATTGCTGTGTAGAATTCCTTCATATGAATATTATCACACTCTATTTATTGATGAATACTTGGGTTGTACCCAGTTTGGGGTTATTATGAAAAATGTTGCTACTTTGATTTTGTTTTTTGTTTTTTTTGGTTTTTTTAGTTGGAGTCTCACTCTGTCGCCCAGGCTAGAGTGCAGTGGCATGCTCACGGCCACCGCAGCCTCAACCTGCTGGACTCAGGCGATCCTGAGGTGGAAGGCTGAGGTGAGTGGATTGCCTGAGCCTGCGGGTTCGAGACCCGCCTGGGCAACTTGGTGAGACCTCATCTTTACAATAAAATCAAAAATTAGCTGGGTGTGGTAGCACACACTTGTAGTTCCAGCTACTTGGAAGGCTGAGGCGGAAGGGTTCCCGGAGCCCAGCAGGTTGAGGTTGCAGTGGCCGGGAGCGGCCACTGCACTCCAGTCTGGGTGACAGAGTGAGACTCCAACTCAAAAAAAAAGAAATAGGAGTCACTATAAAAAAAAAAACCCTTTTTTTCTTTATCAAAAGGCAGGAGGGAAAACAAAGGCAGGGATGACTAAATGAAAGACCCCAGTGTCCCTCTTAGTTTTAGAGACATCGTGGTTGGCTTCCAACTCCAACACACAGTCCCTGCATCATTCTTGTACCCCTTAGAGACATTAACTTGGTGCTGAACAATTTCAAATTTGCATCATCAAAATGTACAGGAAATGCTCCCCACTGTATTTTCCCCTTGATAGTTCTCTCTTTTCTTGAAAACTTGCCAAAATATGATCATGCTTGTATTGGCTTCATCATATTTTTCTTCCTTTCTTTATAAATCAAGTTGGGGTCTCACTCTCTTTCTCAGGCTAGAGTACAGTGGCATGATCACAGCTCACTGTAGCCTCTAACTCTTTTTTTTTTTTTTTTTTTGAGTTGGATTCTCACTCCGTCACCCAGACCCCAGCCTCGACCTGCTGGGCTCCAGCGATCCTTCCGCCTCAGCCTTCCCAGTAGCCGGAATTACAGGTGCACGCTACCATGCCCGGCTAGTTTTTTATTTATTGTAGAGATGAGGTCTCGCCAAGTTGCCCAGGCAGGTCTCGAACCCACGGGCTCAGGCAATCCACTCACCTCAGCCTCCCAAAGCGCGCGATTACAGGCTGAGCCACCGAGCCCAGCGCCTCTAATTCTGCTCAGGCAATCCTCCCATCTCAGCCTCCTGGGTAGCTGGGACTACAGGCACGTGCCACCATGCCTGTCATTTTTTTTTCTTTTTAGAAAAAAGGTCTCACTCTGTTGCCCAGGGTGGGCTCAAGTGATTCTCCCTCCTTGCCTCCTAAAGTGCTAGGATTAAAGGCATGAGCCTCTGTACCTGGCCCCTTTCTTCATATTTCATCAAGGTTATAAGTTATCAGATACCTAATCATCCCTTGACTGTTGGGCATTTAGGTTTTTCCTAAACTGTTGATATAGTAGATGATACTGATGCAGCTTGTTCTAGTTCGGCAGGATCAGGGTTCCCAAGTTACAGTCACCGGAGCTGTACTGCCAGCCTGAGATTCACGCAGTGGCCGGGGACTCAATGACGTCTGGAGTGGGGAACCTGGTAGCACCTGAGAACCCGGGGATCCCAACAGCAGCGGAGCCCCAAGGAGTGTTACAACTCTCACACACAGTTCGGCGGGTGGGTAAGCTGAGGCCCAGAGAAATGTTTATAGCTCTGTCAGTTCAGAGGGCCAAGGAGCTCTGTGGGTCCAGCTTTTCTAGTGCAGTGAGTCCCAGGTTCTTGTGTCACGCACAACACACACAAAAAAAAAGGCAGTGTAGACCCAAAGGGTGAGAAAGTCAAAAGTTTATTCAGGAACAGGAAAGCAGGAGCTGCAGCTCTCCACAGGGAGAAGGGACATGAAAGCCCACAATTTAGCTGATGTGAGGTGTTTATAGAGGACTTGGGAAGGGAAGTGCATGCTAATTGGTTGGGGATAGCACCAATCAGAGAGCGGCACCATGGTGTAGAATTAAAAATGCACCAATCAGAGAGGGTTGAGAAGGGCCAATCAAGAAGAAATACATGATACGGGCTCGGTGGCTCAGCCTGTAATCCCGCGCCTCGGGAGGCTGAGGTGAGTGGATTGCCTGAGCCCACGGGTTTGAGACCCGCCTGGGCAACTTGGTTAGACTTCATCTCTACAATAAATAAAAAAAACTTAGCCGGGCATGGTAGCGTGTGCCTGTAGTTCCAACTACTTGGAAGGCTGAGTGGAAAGATCGCCAGAGCCCAGCAGGTCGAGACTGCGGTGGCCAGGAGCGGCCACTGCACTCCAGTCTGGGCGACAGAGTGAGACTCCAACTCAAAAAAAATAAAATAAAAAAGAAGTGCATGAAAGGGGAAGTCTATGGACCTGGGAATGGATGTTCTCACTCTGGTCTGCAGGGTTTACAGCAGAGATTTTTACTGGGGACTTGCCCTAATCTGTCTGCCTATCCGTTTTCTTCCTTTCTTCCTGTCTCAGTATGGTAGTGACCAACTTTGTCTGCCTAATCGCTGTTGCATCTTTGATCACAGAAATCTTTGCTGCACTAGTATGGTTTAAGAGCATGAATGCAGCAGCCAGACAGCCCACGGTGTGACCTTGAGCAAGTTATATCACCTGCCTGTGCCTCAGTCTCCCTGTCTGTAAAACTGGGGAAAATAACAGCACTTATCTCACCGTGACTTCATATGTGCTAAGGGCTCACTAGTTACCATAGAAGTGGTTCCTTTTATTATTTACCTGGAATACTAGAAATTGGGAAATAATTGAGTAAAAACTAAGCATTTTAAAAATTTTTGGGTTTTTTTAGTTGGAGTCTCACTCCGTCGCCCAGGCTGGAGTGCAGTGGCACACTCATGGCCACCCCAGCGTCAACCTGCTGGACTCAGACAATCCTTCCACCTCCGCCTTCCAAGTAACTGGAACTACAGGTGTGCGCTACCACACCTGGCTAATTTTTTATTTATTGTAGAGATGAGGTCTTGACTGCTTGCCTGGGCTGGTCTCCCACAGGCTTGGTTCGGCCTCCCAAAGTGCTGGGATTATAGGCTGAGCCACCATGCCTGGCCAAAAGTTTCTTACATATATCTGATTTGGGAGTGCGAGCCTGTCTCCTCTTTGAAACCTCAGACCACTGTACTGTTGCAGTCCACAGCTGTGTATCAGATCATTGTCTACTGAAGCAACTCCTCTCTTCAGTGTGTGACCTTCTCTTGGTCCATATAAATCCTTGTTGATTTTTCTGTCCCCTTCCCTGACTTGGTAAGAGGGCAATAACTATATCCCAAGGATAATAATAGCTCATATGTATCAAGTGTGTATCTCTGGGCCCAAATCAGTGCTGAGCCCTTTGCAAGCCTTGCCTGGGCAGCTCTTCCCAGCACCCTGAAGAGGCAGTTGCCATTCTCGCCCTGCCACAGCTGACTTGGCCCTCAAAACACGGAATGATACAGCCCAATTGAAAGAGCCACCACAGCCCTGAGGTGGAGGAAATGCTGTTTCCCAGGCCTCACTCCTAGAGATTTTGATTCTGCAGGACAGGGGCGGTGCCCAGGAATCTGTATTTCTGCCCTAGTCCATCCTTTATGCTGCGGCCCTGTCTGGGCAACAGTGTATGAGAGTCTGGATGACTCTGTGCTCCCCAATTTCCTGTTTGAGCTTCAGGCCTCTTCTCTATCTCTCCTGAGCTCCAGCTGGAAGGTTTTCCCTGGGCTGTGAATGGAGTTTTCAGCCCAACACTGACTGGAACGGGAGAGGATGAGGGCAATCCAGAGGAGAAGAAGATGTCCCCAGTCTCATTAGTATGCAAGGCCCTTCTTGTCACACTGCCTTTAATTGAAGCTGAAGGGCTGGTGCATCTCTCTCCGGGATTTTCCACTCTCCCAGACCTTCCGGAACTGGCTGGGCCCCAGCCTGCTGAGAGGGACAAGGACGGCGCAGGGGCACCGAGGCATCTGTCTGTTGGTGTTGGAAGCCAACCCCGTTGATGTCTCTAAACCAAGGTGGAAACTGGGCTCCTGCCTGCTACTTCCCTCCTGCCCCTCTCACCCCTGCTCTTGTGTCTCCCTCCCTCTCTCCTTTTATCGAGTACCTGCCTATATGAGGCTGCATTCTCCAGCCAGGAGGAGGAAGACCACTAAGAAGAGATCTGATCTATTTCTGAATTTTTACCAAAGAGTCCTTGCACACAGTTCTCATGGTTCAAAAGACATACAGGATAAAACAAAAGGTCATAGTGAACCATGCTGCCCTCTTCCACTCCCGGAGACAATGGCTTTGAACTCTAGCTGTTCTTCTGTGTCTCTAACAGGCTTGTGTGGTAGTAAGATTTTAGATATGATCTCCTGATTTGCTGCCATGTTAAAGGAGGGTTAACTCACTTACCCACCTTCCCGCTTGACTCTCCCCCAAACAGCGAAATTACTCCTTTCTATTCCTTTATTGGTTGACTTAGTAATTTCAAGCAATGTACTAGGATTTTTCTTTTTAAAATGATTTTATGTATGTATGTATGTATGTATGTATGTATGTATGTATGTATGTAGAAACGAGGTCTCACTCTGTTGCCCAGGCTGGTCTTGAACTCTTGGCCTCAAGTAATCCTCCCTTGATGGCCTTCCAAAGTGCTAAGATTATGGGCATGAGTCACTGTGCCTGGCTACTAGCATCTTTCTTTCTTCTAGGGGTGAAATACACATATAATAGCGTCTATAAAACACATGTAACTATAAAGCAAACATCTGTGTAGCCAACCAAGAAACAGAATAGTCTTTTAAAGCTTCTCCCTCCCACGAAGCCACTTACCTTGACTTTTGTGACAATAGTTCTCTTGCATTTTTTTAGAGTTCATTTCACCTTTGTATGTATCTCTCAATTTTGAGATTTGCTATAAATAGACTCACTATAGGTTTTATTCTGTGCTGGGCATCCTTCCTTCAATGCTGTGAAGCTAATCCAAGTTGATTGTGTGTAGCTGTGGCTCATTCATGCTCACTGTTGTGTAATTACCCGGTCAAGTAGACCACAGTCTATCCAGTCAACTGTTGATGGACTTTTGGATTGTTTCCAGTTTTCTGCTATCATGAACATCCTAATTCCCATCTCCCAGTACATGTGTGCAAGGGTTTCTGCAGGACACTGGGGCGGAGTCACCTTGTATTCAATGTCAGACTCAATTTCGTTGGAGAACGAACTTTCCAAGGTGGCTGTACCTCCAGAGATTGTGACCTAATTGTGGAGGGCAGGGCCTGGGCATTGGGACTATTCAAAGCTTCCCAGGTAATTTCACAGAGGTATCCCTTCCTACCTTTATTTCCAGCCTGTCAACTCTAGATAGTCTCTCTCAAGGTCCCTAGCTCGTTTCTTTCCACTCTCTTCCCTCAAGATTTCTGTGTGATGATCTGAAAGAGATACTAAGAGGGCTTTTCCCAGGTGAGGTTATCAAGGCATGGAGAATTGGTTAAAATACTAGGAGGAAGGCAAGCAGATGAATTCTTTCTTCAGGCAGAATTGAAGAAAACACCCAGGGCTGGGGATTCCTCCCAGAAGCCATTTCTTGCCTCCAGCGACTGACAGCCTCCAGCAACTGCCTGTCTGCCAGATATAGGCCAGAGCATCTTTCAGACAGCTTAAACTTTGCAGGCAGCCAGCATGATGCTTAGAAGCTGGCCTTGGGGGGGGGGGGTGGATTCTAGACTCCTCCAAGGGTCTTATATTCACGTTTCTTTATAGGGATTCCAACCTTGTTTCTCAGCCCTGAATAAATGTAGCAACACACTGGAGATTTAAGTAATTCCATTACCTGGGCCTCAGGTTTTAATTACATCAAAATTTCTGGAGTGAAACACAGGCACCAGTAAGTTTCAGAAGTTGACTGCTTCTTCTATGCAGCCAAGGTAGAGAACCAGTAGTCAGGGGCTCTCAAGCTTTAACTAGCATCTGTCTGGATTACTTGGGCCTTACACCTGGAATGAGGCCCTGAATTTGCATTTCCTTTTTTTTTTTTTTTTTTTTTGAGTTGGAGTCTCACTCTGTCACCCAGGCTGGAGTGCAATGGCATGCTCACTGCAGCCTCAGCCTGGGTTCAGGTGATCCTTCCACCTCAGCTTTCCAAGTAGTTGGGACTACAGCTGTGCACCACCATACCTGGCAAATTTTTTGATTTATTGTAGAGACAAGGGATCACCATGTTGCCCGGGTTGGTTTTGAACCTGTGGGCTCAGGCAATCCTCTCGCCTCTGCCTCCCAAAGAGTTGGTATTACAGGCGAGAGCCACCACACCCGGCTGAATTTGCATTTCTAACCATTTACTCGTGTTGCAAATGTCCCCCAACCACACTTGGAGACCCCGCTTGCAGTCAGAAGTTGCACTTGATGCTGCACAAGTGTAACTGCATACCTCCCTGGAGCATCCTGGGCAGCCCAGCTCCGTCTGATTGTGTGTACTCTTCCCAGTTCTCTCTTACGTAGTCGGGTTTAGGCTGGGAATGGCAGATGCTACAAATCAAGACTTTCCCCCCAGTCGTGGTTAAACAGTCACTAGCATATTATGGATCAGAGGAACAGTGGGAGAGACTAGCAAGGTGTGATATATCCTTGACTATGAAGAGTTAACGTCATTGTCCATAGGGTCTAGATGCATGTAGGGGCTTCACTGTGGTTGCCCGTAGAGCTTCCGTATATATGGAACAAAAAAGGTATATACATGATCACAGGCTCAAAGTTTTTTGTTTTTGTTTGCCCAGGCTGGAGTGCAGTGGTGTGAACACAGCTCACTGCAGTCTTGACCTTCTGGATTTAAGAGATCTTCCCAACCTCCTGAATAGCTGAGACTAGAGGTGCACACCACCACACCCAGCTCTTTTTTTTTTTTTGGTAGAGAGGAAGTCTCACTATGTTGTCCAGGCTTGCCTCAAACTCTTGGGTTCAAGCAATCCTCTCACATCAGCCTCCCCATGCTCATGCCTGGCAGGCTCCAAGTATTAAAACTATTTTTCTGGTTTGAGTTATTAATGTAGTTATTAATAGCACACAAAACCAAATAAATACATTACACATTTTGATCATTATTAAACATAGAAAATGAGGGGGGCTCTGGGGGCCCTCAACATTTCAAACTGCCTTCTCACTTAGGGGGATGTTTTACTCGTTGGGCCAGGATGACGGCAGATATGAAAGGACATATAAATTCCACAGCTGCAAATCCATGCATGGAAGATGAAGAGCTGGAAACTGACTTCCTTTGAATGAACCATGACCAAGAGCCCTTGGAAAGTCTTTATGTACCCTTAGTTTGAAGAGTGCTGAGCTGGTCTGCACTGCGGAAGGCATTCATCCCATTTCCATCAGCAAGTGGCCACACGGCGTGGGACAGTGTGCATACCCTACCTCTGGACCCGACATCCTGGGAGAGCAGGACTGGGAGTAGATTAAACGGAAACCCCAGCCCTACTTGGCAACAACCCCAAACACCCTTTGTGTCAGCACAATGTTCTCCACAAATCATCAAAACCCACAACCTACCCAAATAACCTTTCAGGCATTAATATATAGGGCGTGGACTTGAACAGCAGAGGCAAAGATGTGTTAAAAAGAGAAGGCCTACCTGGGCAGCGAGACCTCATATCTACAATAAATCAAAAAATCAGCCGGGTGTGGTAGCGCATGCCTGTAATTCCGGCTACTTGGAAGGCTGAGGCGGAAGGATCAAAGAGCCCAGTAGGTCGAGGCTGCGGTGGCCGGAAGTGGCCACTGCACTCCAGTCTGGGCGACAGAGTGAGACTCCCAACTCAAAAAAAAAAAAAAGAGAAGGCCTGGCCAGGCTCAATGGCTCAGCCTGTAATCCCAGCACTTTGGGAGGCCGAGGCGAGTGAATTGCCTGAGTCCACAGGTTCGAGACCCACTCGGGCAATTTGGCAAGACCTCGTCTCTAAAATAAATAAAAAATTAGCTGGGTGTGGTAGCACACACTACAAGTAGCACACGCCTATAGTTTTGGCTACTTGGAAGGCTGAGGCAGAAGGATCGCTGGAGCCCAGCAGGTCAAGGCTGTGGTGGCCGGGAGTGCCACTGTACTCCAGTCTGGGCGAGAGTGAAACTCCAACTCAAAAAAAAAAAAAAAAAAAAAAAAGAGAAGGGCTTTCCATAAGAATCCCCCCACCCACGCAGGGAACTGGGTTTCCATATTAACTGGGGAGGAGCTTTCATCATTGGGATTAATCTTCCTTACAAACAGAACTGTGCTCTGTGTGGAGCTAACTTTGCTTGGCAGATGCAGGAAATCACTAGGATCACATTCTTGACCAGGCTGTGACAGAGAAAAGATTCTCTGACCTTGTCATGGACTCCAGCATACCCTGAGTTTTTCATTTTGGGTGGGAGGAGGACAGGGGATGTGGTGACAGACTGAGTGGAGAGAGCCCAGGATCTGTCATCATCCTTAGTAAAACTTCCTTCCTTCAGTACCCCGACCTGCAAAGCACACTTTTGACCTTTTTCTGAACTGAATGAAGAATGGCCATGAACAGTCCAGGAAGTGGTTTTGAACCTTCAGGTGCTTCCCAGAGCACAATGGTCCTGTGTTCTTCCCAGTGGATCCATGGGGCTGGAACCATAGTTAGGCGCTCAGTGGGTTTTGGTGCCACTGACCTTGTCCACACATCAAAGTTTCTGGTTTCCAAATGACAAGTCTGTCTACATAGGTAAATTGATCCTGCTTTCTCTTTCATTTCTTTGCAGTGAAATGCAAAATGGAGGATGACTCAGAGCCTGTGGCCAAGATTCCATCACGTTAACCACAGTTGGTAGCTTTTCCCATCTGAGCACAAATTACCCTGTGCAAGGAAAATGACCAATTCGTGCTTCCTCTATTGTGATTTTTTTTAACAAGTCTTGGTACATGTGAAAATGGAGTCTTTTCTGCACAAGATAGGATGTGTTGCAAACATATTTTGCTGCAGTTTATAAAAGTATTAGTTTTGACTTTCTGCATTATTCCAAGATTTTATTCTTTCACCCAGAAATTTCTTGAGGGCTTCAAGAATATCCTTCTACACTGATCTCTGTCAAAATGTACAAGGAGCTCCAGCCCCAAGAGAGGCTGCAGTGCTCATGTAACTTCCCCCTTTGGGCAGCGTTTGCAATGATCCATATTTTAATTTAAATCCCCAACCTCAGAATCGAGTTTTAAGTGTACCTGGTGACTACTTTTTATAAAAGAGACACTGTTTCTGATCATTTCCAGGAGAGGCTGGCCCTTAACTTTTCTTGCAAACCCAACAAGATGAGACATTTAAACCCAGACAACAAGAAATATCTAGGCCCCATGGTATTATAGAAAGTTTTCATTTTTATGGGTAAATTAACTTATTACCCTCATTTGTTCTGTGGTTGTTGTTAATCAGGATTTTCTCATTCAAATACCACAGACAGCCTTGGGGCAGATCCAAAAGCCTAGGAGTTGCATTGGGTTGTTTTGACAAGCTACCACACGTCTTAAGTAAATAGTAAAGCCTTTATTTTTGTGTTAAGAACAGCATTTTGAAAATAAAACCTATCTGCCCATGCTTTACAACCTTTTAAATCTGTAATATTTATATAGTCATTTATGGTACACATTGATTGTCTTAAAATTTCTTTAACGATTTTTTTTTAATAAGTATGCGATAGTCAGCCAGGGGAAGATAAAGGTACATTATAAAACACACATTAATGCATTTAATAAATATATATTATCTATCAAAAATGAGCCTTAGCTCTTTATCAATTAATAAAAAGCACCTGCTGAGAACTCCTGTAAGCTGGTATAATCATTGCATCATTGGATTATAAAAGCCACAATGCTCCCTTTCAGTTTGGGGTTCAGCCTGAGACGTTCAACTCAGCCTTGGCCAACCAAGAACACCGCCCCCAGTTCACACTTGTTCAGTGGGCCCTGACGGCATCTGGGCTTTAAAAAAAAGCACTGGGCACCCAGCTTCCAACAACCGGATCTTCAGTCCTGGAAACCCTTGAGACGCACAGAACTTCCCAGTTTGCAAGTTGTAAGAGCTGAATCCCTCTCCCCACCCTCGATTTCCAGAGAGAAATCCAGGATAGAACAATTTTCTATTAAAAGGGGGGGGGGGGCGGCAAGAGTGGCTGTTATAGTCCCAAGGCGATTTTAGTAACCAGACATGGAACGATTTGTGCTTACAATGAGGGATTTTGATCACAGATGCTTTCCTTCCAGGTCATTTTCCCCAAACAAGTCTTGTTTACATCAAATAGATTCTAAACAGAGGTGCTTTTTAGTTTTGTCTTTAAAACCTTGCTCCGTGGGGTCAGCCGGGTGCTGTTGCAGTCTCTTGGTAAAGATGCCTCTTGGTACTTCTCAGGTGAAGTCATTAGAAAAAGAACAGCTTTCACCCTTCACCCCTCACCCCAGCCTCTGCCCCCATCCTGAGGGCATTCAGCCCACTCTCAAGCCAAAATAAAACCCAGAAGCGCAACAACAATATCAGATGTAAAAAGAAAAAAAAAGATGGGGAACTCATTAAGTGAGCTTTCCCCTTGGCTCAAAGATTGTTCCTTTTTATGGTAGGGAAACACTGCTTTCCCGGGTAGCCATTTATGCTGTGCTCACCTTATATGCTTGGACAACAAAGAACTTAGAAAACGATCGTGTGGATTGCTCCATCGTGTACATGGGATCAGAAAGCTCCAAAGGACTCCAGAGAGCGGGGGTGAGCAGCCATTTCCTGGCACGAGAATGTGTGATACTGTCGTTTTCCACCAGATTGGACCGTGTTGGGAGAGTTCTTTCTTTTCAGGATACGGGGTCTGCATGCAGCCATCCCCACTTCCACCCAGGTCCTAACTTCCTTCCCTCCCAGTCTTCCCCAGTCAGTATGATCCTCGAGCAGAGGATTGGAATGGGGTTTTCTAGAAGCAAGCACATGCTCTGGGCAGAGGCGGGGTGCTTCCTGGAAGGGCAGAGAAGAACGGCATTTGGGGACCATGCTTTTCCACCCCCATGCATTGCAAAACAGGAAATGCATTGGTTGTTAAGGAAAAATCGCAGGAGGGCCACACAGGGATGGCCAGATTGACCTTATTTTCCCCAGTGCTTTCCAAGGACAGGGTGGGGACAGGGAGGGGACACAGCAGAGACTAGGGCTTTGAGAAATATGAAAATTTATTAAAACATACTCAGCTCAGACTTACTGGCTTATGAAGAGGTCAGTCCCCCCCCACCCCCAAACACTAACCTTTTTCATTTGCTTTAAAGGTTAAAGGCTTATGGGTAGTTTTATAGAAAAAAAGCAATGTAGTGATTAGAGTATATGCAAAAGACCCACCCTCATTTATACATTCCATGCCGGTTAAAACTCTTTGCTTCGTTGCTAGCAATTATGCTGGCCAAACAGTCAGAGAACATGGGGCTTTTCATGGCCAAGATGTTCGAGATGCCAAATAACAAAGGAATGACTTGCTTAGGACAGATGAAAACCATGAGAGAAACAATGGGCTTTGAAAAGAGCCATTTGCATGGAACCTGCAGAAAACCAAGACAAAAATGTTCCACAGCCTCCAAAAGCAGCAAGAAACCCTCACGTGATCCGGTCCACCCAAGAGCGTTCACTGTATCAAATGGAGAAGACCCAAGAAGTCACTGCTTGCTAGGCAGCAGGATGTCACCTCTCCATCCTAGAAGGAACCCCCACCAGGTGACATCATTGCTGAAAACCTGCCTTCTGGGGTGGGCTTTAACTGGTGACCCCATGGGAGCTTCTGAAATGAACATGGGAATAAAACTGGGCTTGGAGGAGCACCTGTATGTACAGGAAGAGGGTGAGATGATCAAGGAAGAGGGACTGCTGCCCCAAGCCAGACTATTTCTATGAAGGGAAGGGGCAGGGCTTGCATTCTTGCCATAGGCACTAGAGTAGGAGGTCCATAGAAGGAACAGTGATTGTTCACCACTCTTTCTTTTTTTTTTTTTGAGTTGGGGTCTCGCTGTGTCACCTAGGCCGTGTAGTCACCCAGGTGTGCAGTGGCACAATCACAGCTCACTGTAGCCTTGACCTCCTGGGCTGAGGCGATCTTTCGCCTTAACTTCCCAAGTAACTGGGACTATAGGCACACGCCACCATGCCTGGCTAATTTTTAAATTTTTTTGTAGAGAGGGAGCAGGGTCTTGCTGTGTTGCCCAGGTTGGTCTGAAACTCCTGGGGTCACCACTTTCTAAATGTGATGGTCACTTCAATGTCCAGCAATCCTCTTGTCTTTGGCACATGCCAGGGTCCCTCCACCACTACTGGCTATAAAGTTGGGCCTCACCTTGGAATCCCACCCACAATCTCCTTAACTCTCTTGACCTCCCTGAAATGTGCAAACCACCAGGCAAGCCAGTGGAAAAGCCTCCATGTATCCTCCTCAACGATGGTCATCTCCAACAGGCCACCTGGGGTTCAGCACTTGCTGGGGAGGGTCCCCCATATCCAACCAACCAGGCTGGCCCACCAGCTGTGAATCTGGTTCTGTTCTACCCCCAGAGGATGAAACAGTCTTCCCAGCCACATTTTCGAATGAGCCTAATACTATTTGCAATTAGCTTTGCTTTAGTTTGCGGGGATCAAGGTTGGTTTGGTATTATGTGTCTGTGTGTGTGGCGGGGAGGGGAGGGCAGTCGGTGTTAGCTTTTCAGTTCATCAGTGTTCACATTTACACGAAATCCCCTTGGCTGGGATTTCCAAATTTCCTGGCTGTGAAGCGGCCTTGTTCGGCTACTGTTACCGATTTCTCCCTCAAGAAAGACACAGCCAGGGAGTAAGATCGGTAAGAGAGATTCTTATTCTCTGGAACTTAAAGTCTTTCACCAGAGGTGTCTTCCTGTGTGACTTGGCGGAGCAGTTGGGATCTGGAATAACACATAAGGATAACACACTAAGAACTCTGTGCTTTGCAAAGTCAACATCAGAAACTGATTCATTAACGACGTGCCAAAGACAAGTTACTGTGCTTTTTTACCTCTGCGAGATGGATAATTCCCAAGAAAGGCAGCAACCACTGCGTGCTATGCTGCAGCAGTTCTTGGGAAGCCATCTCCCTTTTCTAGAACCATCCAACCCTAATACATGTACGTTTCCTTACCCAGAAACTCATCTACCTTCCAAGTTCTGGGTATTTTTTTCCACATACTGGCCTTGAAGTAACCAGGAGGGCTTAAGAATGACTGATGAGGCCTTTTCTAACCGTATTTATTATAGCACACAAGCCAAATGCTTGGGAGTGGAGTTTTTCTTGGCATCGGACAATAAAACAGCCCAGTGGATGGCAGGGGGTTTTAAGAATGCAAATGTGTGATTCTGTTTATCTTTGAGCCTGTTCCAAATCAAGGCAAACCAATGCCCAGCATACCATTCAAAAGGCCAGGGAAACCCGTGTTCCCTCTGGAGATCAAAGACCATCCCTGACTTACATTTAAAAAAAAAAAAGTTCAGATTGCGTTATGGAATTGGCACATGATAAAAAGAATGGAAATCCAATTTACACATGTAAACTGGCTCATGCGTTTTTTCTGAAAGAAGCGTGTAGCTATGCTTGGAAATTAAATGTGGGGATGAGCGAACGTCTCTGGATTGCTGGAGAAACGAGATGATGTCATTCTGCGGAGGCAAACGTAAACGATGATGATTCTCCTGAAGGGCTGTTTGGCATCAGATAGCAAACTTGCTTTTTTGTGTTTGAGGAAGAGAAATGGTAATCGCTTCACTTTCTTAAGACATCTCTTAGGTCACCAAGACAGAGGGGAGACTTAAACTAGGTTGGATGTCAGCAAAATCTGCTGGGGCCAGGGGGCTTCATCATTCTAGGCTTTTCCTAAAAGCCACCTCTCAGGCTGGGGCACTGGATAACAAAAGGCAAAGAATCCACTGGGTATAGGAGCCCCAAGCTACGTGGACTCTTTCAAACGAACCTGCAGATGGTTCGTGAAGTCTCAGTGGGTTCCCTGTGCATGGAGAAAGGGGGCAGAGAGAGAAAGTAGGGAGATGAAAGCACTGCATGCATCCTAGCTGCAGGGGATGGCGACCTGAGCTGCTGTCTTAGCAGGCCACAGAGGCAGCCTCCACTGGGCAGCGTGACCCTGGTGCAGCTGCTCCCCACACTATGCCTGAGGCCTCCTGATACTTACAGTCCCACCGTTGAGCACGACGGCCATCTCGGTTGGCTGATACACGTTGCTTCTAAACGGGGCGCTGGGTCTTTTCCCCAAGCTGCCGCTGGGCCTCTTTCCCAAGCTGCCGTTGGGAAATCCTGCTGTTCGGAGAGCTGGAGGGAGGGATTGGCAATACAACAATGCCAAAAAAGAGACACAATTTTGTTTTCTTCCCCTGCATCAACAACGCACCGGGGCAGCTCCACCCACCCAGTGCAGTCACTCCTCCCCTTTGTCACAAGCCTGATTCAAAACAAAAGTCACAAAAGGGTTTTGTTCTCAGGCTCTCAGGAGGGGGTGGTAGAGCCCAGGGTGGAGGCGGCTCTCAGGGGGAAGAGGCCCAGGGTTGAGACTTCACCTTTCCCTGGGCCGCGCGGCCCTGCAGGCCTGGGTGACAGTGCCTCTGCATCCCTCAGAATGCAGAGGGATTCCTTTGGCAAAAGTCCTCACTGCAGAATGCCACTCACGTGAAGTTCTACATCACACCACTCAAAACTGTTGGCTGGCCAGGCATGGTGGCTCAGCCTGTAATCCCAGCACTTTGGGAGGCCGAGGCGAGTGGACTGCCTGAGCTGGGGAGTTCGAGACCAGCATGGGCAACTTGGTAAGACCTTGTCTCTACAGTAAATCACAGAAAAACTAGCCAGGCGTGGTGGTGTGCGTCTGTAGTTCCAGCTACTTGGAAGGCTGAGCCAGAAGGATCACCTGAGCCCAGCAGGTCAAGGCCGTGAGCGTGTCACTGCACTCCAGCCTGGGCGACAAGAGTGAGACTCCAACTCAAAACAAAATAAAACAAAAACAACTGTTGGCTGTTTCTGGAAACACAAAGGTAGAAGCCCCAAGAACATGGACGTCAAGTATATGACAGTTCCGTCTTCATTGGAAAGAGATCGGGAACAAGGGCTCTAACCACAAGTGCAGGGTTATTATTTCTAAAGAGGAATAAAAGGGACAACTGGGCTGGGCACGGTGGCTCACGCTTATAATCTCAGCACTTTGGGAGGCTGAGGCGAGAGAACTGCCTGAGCCCAGGGGTTCGAGACCAGCCTGGGCAACTGGATGAGACCTCATCTTTACAATAAATCAAAAAAACTAGCTGGATGTGGTAGTGGGTACTTATACTTCCAGCTACTTGGAAGTCTGTGGTGGAAGGATCGCCTGGGCATAGCAGGTGGAGGTTGCGGTGGCTGTGAGCATGCCACTGCACTCCAGCCTGGGCAACAGAGTGAGACTCCTACTCAAAAAAAAAAAAAAGGGATAACTGAAGCTAACATGGCAAAATATGTCAGCACTTTTTCCCCCCGAAAGGTGGGTAAAAATGTTGTTAATTTACTGTACTTGTAGATTTAAATTTCTGTTTTGTAAAGAAAAACGAAATTAACTGAAAAGACATACATTGCTAAGTGAAAGAAGCCAGTATGTAAAAACTACCTTTCATATGATTCCAACCCTATATTATTCTGGAAAAGGCAAAACTATAGAGACAAAGATAAGTGGTTGCCGAGAGTAGCCACTGCACTCCAGTTTGGGCAACAGAGTGAGACTCCAACTCAAAAAAAAAAAAAAAAAAAAAAAGTCTTATTTTAAAAAATAAGAGCCAGCCGGGCTCAGTGGCTCAGCCTGTAATCCCGTGCCTTTGGGAGGCTGAGGTGAGTGGACTGCCTGAGCCCGCGGGTTCGAGACCCGCCTGGGCAGCGAGACCTCATCTCTACAGTAAATCAAAAAATCAGCTGGGCGTGGTAGCGCATGCCTGTAATTCTGGCTACTTGTAAGGCTGAGGCGGAAGTATCGCCGAAGCCCAGCAGTTCGAGGCTGCGGTGGCCGGAAGTGGCCACTGCACTCCAATCTGGGCGACAGAGTGAGTCTCCAACTCAAAAAAAAAATTTAAAAATTTAAAAAAATAAAAAATAAGAGAAAGTAGAAGCACTATTTAAACAAATCAAAACAAAGTCTCGGTTGTAAGATGGCATCTTCATTCTCATTGAAAGTACTAGTCTTGCTTTGCTAAGAAAAGCCTCACTTAAAAGTCTTCCCTGAAAGGAGGTGCTTTTTTAAAAAAAGCAGCAAGAGTGCTTGGGTTTTTCCCAAATTACTTGGGGCAGGGATCAAGATCACCTTAGTAATACAGTTAACCTTCAGAGAGTGCCAACCCGGAGGCAGGCACTATGAACAGCACTCTATATACATTTACTCAATTTTCATAGCATGATAGATACTTGTATTATTTTCACTTTACTTGAGACACAGAGACGTTAAGTAACTTGCCCAAGAGGTCACACAGCTGGTAAGAGACAGAACCAGCATTCGAACCCTGACAGAATCTGTGCTCTTTTGAGTCAGAGTCTTATTCTGTCACTCAGGCAGGAGTGCAGTGGAAAGAGCACAGCTCACCACAGCCTCGAACTTCTAGACTCAGGCAATCCTCCTGCTTCAGCCTCCCTAGTACATGGGACTACACCCTGGCTATTTTTTTTTTTTGAGTCAGAGTCTCACTCTGTTGCCCAGGTTGGAGTGCAGTGACACGCTCACGGCCACTGCAGCCTCGAACTGCTGGGCTCAGGTGATCCTTCCACCTCAGCCTTCTAAGTAGCTGGGACTACAGGCATGCGCCACCATGCCCAGCTAATTTTTTAATTTATTGTAGAGACGAAGTCTTACCAAGTTTCCCAGATTGATCTCAAACCTGTAGGCTAAGGCAATCCTCTCACCTCAGCCTCCCAAAGTGCTGGGATTATAGCCATGTGCCACTGTGCCCAGCCTTTTTTTCTTTTTTTTTTGAGTTGGAGTCTCACTCTGTCACCCAGACTGGAGTGCAGT